CAAGAAGCGCTCCTTTTTAAAGAGGTGCCATTCTTGACTCTTCAGATTTTAGAGAAAAAAAAAATGGAATGTGTGGGGTTTTGTCAGATGAATAAAATATGTAAGACAATTTTAAACTTATTTATCATCCTTGATCTCAAATACAAACAGAAAAGAGAGAGGAGTCAGTCTTCTACTGCTTTGCATGTAGTATAGATCTCCTACAATTTGTGAAACACAGGTAAAGGGAAAAGAGCAATCTGCAGGAAAAAAAAAATAGATTTACACCTAGTGATTTTTATATATCCTGAGATTTATTTTGATACATCAAAACCAATAAACAGGTACAGATAAACCCAAGTGACTTAATGAAATTTACAGCATATGCTTTAAGTATTTTGCTATATCAGAAGAGCCAAATAACTGTAGAATAGGGAACCCAGTTTTGAATTCCTTAAGTTTGCTGGATGCTAACAACCTGCTCATCTCTCTCTCCACATCGTACTGGAAGTTGTCACATTTACTCATGTCTTCCTGCAGAGTTGACAGGGTAAGCGTATCATGACATGGTTCAGTTGAAATGAGATGACCCAGGAAAGACCTACAAGTAAAACTGTTTAATCTAACCTGTCTCATTTTGACTATATTAGCAAATCATCCCAGCAAATCTTTGGAGACAATAAACACAGGCAAGAAATTGACAAACAGCTGTGAGTGGTCATGTCCTTTGCATTACAGTAAAACTGAGAAGACAATATCCATTCACAACTTAATGCTCTTTCAAAGGAGAGCCTGGATCCTGCAAATCATTTCCAAATAGTGAGTGCAAGACAGAGTATTAGACCTTGTTTACTTTTAAACAACTGTAATTCACAGTATTTAAAGCTGCAGAGTTAAGAATTAGGATATATCAGAATCAGGAGTTGAATATACTTTTCCTGTAGTCCAGTTGGGCAACCCCCCTGCTTTCTGGCTGAGTCAGAGGCTATGTGTGTTTTTTTATAAACATAAGGCATTCATGTACATGGAGTTAGCAAAAATATCATAATGTATATGTATTGGGATCCCCACTGAGACTGTATGGGCAATTCAAACCCTCGTTTTTCCTATTACAAAAGCTAAGATTATAATTTAGCAACACAACTGTTACTTTAACACGCTTGCATAATTTCCTGTAGCAACTGTTCATCACTTCATGCATCATCAAATGGAGTTTTGACCTTTCAAATTTCTAACAAAGATTCCAGTCAAACTTAAGTTCACTGACTGCCATGTAGCAATGGGGCAAACTGAGATGGATGAAATTTCCATTTTTATCAGCTGTGTACTCCTCTGTTTTGACAGAGCCAGTTGTACTCAAGGAAGGCTCTATTGGTTATTTCGTGAAGCACATTCTGAATATTGTGTTGGTCACTATCATGTATGGACAGGTCCTAAGGCACCTGAATACTTCAGTGGCTCATGAGCTGCTTCATAAACTTTTGACCCATTCTTGCTGTATGTACACTTAGCTCTGCTACAAGGACAGGAAAAGTGACTGAGGACTGTTTATTTCAGTTGTCAAATTTGAATTTATTCTGGGTATAGCTGAGTCTGGATATACACTGGTATATCCAGCTTACTGTCTTAGAGTGGAACAACAGTAGCCATCATGTACATTGATGACTAGCTGGCAGGATTCTGATTCAATGTACCAGCTATATTGCTACAGAAAGTTTCATTTTTCATTGTTGTTTTAGAAGAAACTATATAGGCCTGGCTTGTTAAGAGTATGCAGGTTCAGTGATTCTGATCCTGACTGAAAGCTCTTGAACAACACAAGTGGAAAAAAAAGAAAGAAATTCTTTTTATAGACATTTGGCTCTTATGAAGGTATTATATCAAATGTTTCTGTAAACAGAGCTTTGTCCCAGCTGAACTCCTTAGATCTTCTCAAAAAAACCTGTTTTGATAACAAAAGAATATACTGAAGATATACAGGTTTCTGCAAACCTTCTTCTACAGAAAATGCAAACAATTCACACATATCCACCAAAACCAGAAGACAGGCTTCTCTGAAAAATGTCCTTTCAGTGACATTCGCACACAATATGATAAAAAACTCATATATATATATATATATATATCACTTAAACCTAGTGTTTGCTGTAGGTACTGTATTACCTTTTCAAATTTTCAAGTCAGCATGCATAGATGTGGTCAATGTTTGGAGCCTCTGCTCTTCCTCTTCCCCTGTAAGTTCTATGTGAGTCTGGGGAAAATTGCAGTATTTTCAACTCAGAAAATAACACAGCAGGAGCAGGGCTGTGATGTGGGATAAGCATTACTTCCCAGGACACAGCTTGGGTTGATGCTGCTTTCCATTCTGAAGTAAAAGTATGTGAACCATGTCAGATAAACATTTTAGCTGGGTAGATACACTGAAGGAAATGTTTAACAGATTATTAAAAAAAATTACTCACATGGATTCCTAGTCTTCTATCTATAGCTCTGAATGATAGAAGTTATCCATCTCAAATCCTCGTGATTTTTGCAGTATTGGTTACCTCATTTGAATAAAATGAATAGAATAAATTGTTACGAATCCAAAAATATACGGTTGCCAGGATACATCTTGCTAGATGCAAATGAAAATGGGTTTGTGCCGACCAGCTTAAAATAGTTTGGTACTTAGACATTTTCTTATTAATAGTGATAAATGAAACATTACATATCCAGTGAGCTATTGAAATTATTACTATTTGTTTTGCATTAGAAATATTATTTCAAGCAAATCTGAGCTAATTTTTTACAATGTAATTCCACTGAAATACTCTGCAGTTTCATTGTAGAAGCAGCACACAGAATGAATAAATTTTCCATTTTTGCTTCTCAATAAACTTTTGAATTAAAAAGGTAAGTTTCCTGGTAATTGTTTTTATGATTTTCAGTGCTACAGCATTAATAAGAAGTATGTCTCAGTGCATACGAGCACTATCATTATGCTTTGTCTATGTTGATGTGAATAAGGCAGTTACAACTGAGAACCATGCACCAAAAAAGTCCTAAGGTCTAACCACATTCCTATACAGTTACATAGCCAAATCCCATCACTTAATGTACATTACTGTGAAACAAAAAAAAATTAAAAATATATATTTTTTAAGTTATATATTTTACCTTTTCATAAGCTGTATGCATACTGTATGCATGCATATTAGTATCTTCAAAAGCCTATAGCAGAACCTTAGTCATATCACTTTCATGACTGAAGTTGTTTAAGATTGGTGATGAAAATAATTCTGCATCGAATACCTAATTAAGATAATTAATGTATAAAATAAATACATTTTTATTGTGTGTCATTCAAGGTGTGTACATGTATTTTAAAGGGGATTTTATTTTCTATATGCTGACTTCCAAACAGGTAGATAAATACAGGTCAGATTTCCAGCTGAGGCTCCTGTATTTTCAGTGAGTGGCGCAGCTGCTCTAATCTGCCATGGTTGGTTCCTTGTCAGCAAAGAGCAGGCTGCCCATGCTTCTTCCAATGTCATGCATCAGTTGATATAAGAAATAAACTGGAGGGCTTACTGTAGTAAAGGCTCAATGTATGCTGAGAAAGCAAGCTCTTCAAGCTGACTATATCTGCATCAATTGAGATGAAGAAGGTATCTTTGCTCCCTTACTAATGATTGGCTAGAGAAGAGAGAAAAATACTGACAAAACCACAGCAGCATAATTCTGTCATAAGAAACAATTTCAGACACAATTCAGAGTTGTAAAATGATAGATTAACACCCTTCTCTGCTCCTTCCCTTTGTCTTAAAAGGCTTTATTGCTAATTTTCAGCAGAAAATTTCAGAGAAGAAAATTATGTCCCTAAGTTCCAAAATAGCACTAAGGTTCATCTTCACAAGCGATGAACAGCTACAGTTCCAAACAATATCACTGGTACCGTGAATTATGCAAGTGATGACAGGATCCTACTGAATATTCATATAATTTACTTCATAGAACATATTAGCATTATCCTTTTTTTCTGAGTTAACCACAAAAATAAAGTACTTCCAGACTGAGGAGATGATTAAGGGGCTGATTCAATGGCCACTGAAATTGAAGACACTTCCTTTCAAATTTGGTAACCTCTGAACTGAGGTCTAAACCTTTCTTTTTCCAAGGAATGCTCTTCGTACTAACCTTCTTCATTTCAGTCTGCACAAAGCTAAAATAAGCATTAAGAAAGATGTCCTTTTATTCAAAATTGACTCCTACATGCAATGCTTAAGAAAACTGCTAGATAAATACATTAGTTCTGCTTAGCAAGCTAAACATCAGAAGCTGAAAACTCATATTCCCATCTGTTCTGAGACCACTGTTTGCATCCAGATGACTGTTAGTGCAATTCTGCACAAAGCCATGAATTTCAAGACTTGCAAGGCACCAACCTCTACAAAAGACTAAACAATTCTCTTCCAGGTAGACAAAAATTCAAGTATCTGCCAACATTGTAAGTGACTTTATGAATCATACCTCAGAAAAATACAACCAATAAAACCCAACCAACCAACCCATCAAAAAAAACTAAGCCAAACCAAAAAGACTCAAAACTGTGACAGCATTCAAAATACATCAGATGTTATAAGGCCAGAATCTTAATTAATAAATAAATAAATAAATAAATAAATAAATAAATAAATAAATAAATAAATAAAACTGTTAAATTTGCCTGACATTTGAGATTGCAGACTGGCTTGGAGGAGATTCAGTGTGGGATTCAGACTCTTAAATTTTAGATGTCTGTATGAAGGTGTCTCCAGCTAGGTGTCTAAGTTTCTACTGCAGTTAAGACAGATTCAATTGCATAGCAATGGGCATTCTGAGTTACCTGAGATAGGTCACAAGGACCTACAAGAAAACTTATGCTTTTGAAGAGCAGTTGAAAACAGGCATGATACCCAAGTGCACCTTAGGAAGCCTTGAATACATCTGCTTATCCTACCTGTGGATAAGGACCTGTGATAACACAGCCTTTTTGTGGCTGGTCCATTGTGTTGCTCACCACGGAACTGACTGTAGGCACCTACCTGTTTCTCATGATATGCAAGACAAGTGTATGAAAGCATCAGGCCTGGACCCTACTACTGACTGTAATGGGAGAATAGGCACCTAATTAACATCTAATAACATGCAGGTGTCTGTATACCTACATTTAGAGGCACGATTCACTTGTGTAAATGCAAGGGCATTCTTTCATCTGAGAAAGTTTAAGGTGTTTGAAACATTGGGATGGGGCTGGTAGTCATGAGACAGAATTTTAATGGGAATCTTACACTTCTTCAAAGACAAAACTTGGGCAGTATATGAGATCCCTCACAAAGTCCAAGGAGTAAGAGATTACTTCACTGAGGAATCTGAAACCTACTAATGTGCCTCAAACTCGATTTATCTCACACCACCACTAGCGTAACAGTTTAGCACAGATAGCTACTGTTGGCTTGGATAATATATAAGTAGCCGGTTAAACAATTATTTCCTGGTCTCTAACATCATTGTGCAAAGCTGAGAATCTGAAATGTGTCACTTGCCTGCCATGCCACTACAGGCTGTTCAACTTCAGTCTTTAGTGCAGTATGTGATGCTAAAGCTATGTAGATGTTCTACAGTTCATTTCATCAATATATAATGGTCCCTTTGTTTTGGTAGGATTTAAAAGTTGGACTTTTCTAGCTCCTATTTACTATTGGTATCAAGAATCAAAATATTCTTCTGGCTAAGTAACTGATGCACTCAGCGCAGACAATCTGAGTGCATACACATAACATGCACTAATGGAGTCAAGAGTATTTCCAGATGATGGGTGACAGCTGCCTCTTCTTTTGTAAAAGCATCCAGCTAAAGGCATGCCCATTACACAGCAGTCAGAAGGCATGCCCCAGAAAAAGAAGTAAAAGAGAACATTAACCTGCTATCTGAGAATCTAAGGTTCAGTTCTCTCTCCTGGTTCCAGTTGCCCATGTGACTATTCTTCCTGTTTGGAAGTGGAGCAACGTGATTTACTTCTTTTAAAAGGTACTTTGAGACTTGAAGATAAAAAATGCAAGCCAGCAGCTTAGTGTTCTACTAAGCTGGGTGCTGCAAGGGTAGCTATATTAAATACGTGCTCCAGTAACAGATACCAAGGCTTTTAATAGTCTAAGTATGTCACTCAAATTATTTTCTAACTAGAAAATTTGGAATTTTCAGACCAAAGAACAATTCACGGACATCTGGATACAGCCTGGGTAAAGGCAAGAAGTTAAAGCATGTCAGTGATGCTGCTCTGGGATGCTTGCTCAGAGGGAGTGAAAGGGCAGAGGGTCAAATCGGCAGCAGATCCTACGTGCTCACAGCTCTACCAAACCGCTCGGCTTCCCAGCGCTTCACAGCTTGCCTTATTCATGAGAATCACACCTCTCGGTGCACCCAAACCCCTTCCTTCGAGGCGTCCGCCCCAGGCAGAACGCAGCTGTGAGCTCTCTGGTTCACTGGCACAGAGCTGTACGGGCTTTGCGGTCAGCATCATGGCTTCTCACATTTAAAGAGCTCGCCAAGCAAAACCCTGGTATGAACAAATATCCAGATATTTTTATGCTGTGCTTCCAATACTGTTACTTGTAGGCTTTTTGTTTGTTTCTTTCTGTAAATGACTCACAGACTTGTCTTTTAGGGGAGACCAAGCGCTGCTAAGCCACTCTTGCAACTTTTAACCTTATTTAACCCTCAAAACAGCAAGAGGAAGTACAAAGTATTTTCACGAGCTGTGAACGGGCTCAGATCTGGTTTTGACGTCTTGAGGAAGTGCTGCCTTCTGCAAAGCCAAAAATGCAAAAAAATGTATGCGCAGTCCCGCTGATCTCAAACACTGACACACACGCAGTCCGGCTCCCCCCTTCCCCAAAAATAAGAATCCACCCGCTGGGAGGAGAAGGGATAGGATCTCTGCGGATCTGGGCGGATTTGGGTCAGTACCGATAGCTCCGGGCGGGGGGGCAGCACGGGTGATAGCCGCTCCTTTCCCTGCCCTTATCTCCAAGCAGACGCCCCAGCTCCCCTTTCCCCTCTGCATTTGCGGAACGGACGGACTCCCCGTCTCTCGTTCCTCTAGTTCAGAGTCGCAAGCCCCCCTCCCTGTCCGCAGCCACACCGGCGACCCCTCCTCCTGCTCTGGGCCCCGCAGGGTGCCTCATCCCCACCCCAGCCCGCGGCGGCGGGAGGCGGGTCCGAGGGAGCCGCACCCGCCCGGGGCCGGGAGCCGCACGCAGCCACCGTGGGGCGGGCTTGGGAGCGTCGCGCTGGGCTGGGCTGGGCCGGGTAAGGGCGCGCCGCCGGCTGACTCTGAGGTGCGGGGGATGGACGAGGGTCGCTGCAGCAGCGAGCGGCGACGGGCGGTTCAGGTAAGCAGGAAGGGCAGTGGAAAGGGAGGCATGGTGGGGCTGGGTGCTGCCGCCTGCCCGGGACTGCGCAGTGGCGAGCGGGCTGAGCCGCTTCTGCCGCTCGTTCCCGCAGCGCCCCACGCATCAGCCCGCAGGCAGCGGGGCGGGGACGGAGCCTTCTCCGTCCGGAGGGTTCCCCTCGCCCCCTGCCCTCTCCGCCGCTTTTGTGGCCGCTTCTTGCTCCAGGGTCACCGAGCCCCTGTCGGTGCCGCAGGCGGCGCGGCTGCCCGTGACCCCCGCAGGGCGGCGGGAAGGGGGTGTCCGGGGGACGCAGCCAACTGTTGCCCGGGAAAGCGCCAGCTGCAGACTGCTGCCAGCTCCTGTAGCATCGGGGCGGCGGGCGCTGGGCGGGCTCGCTTTGCCTCGGCTGCCGGCTGCGTTTGGGGAAGGCATCGGTTGCGGGGCGAGCCCCAAAGGAGGTTTCCCGGTTGGACTTTCCCTAGCAGGGAGGAGCTTCCCCCGGGCACAGGCCCTCAGTCCATCCCTAGGGGTGGATGTCGCTGGGTCTTCGTTGACGGCAGCTGTGTGCCGAAGCCGCCGCGCCTGCAGGGTTGCGTAGCGCCAGTGCAGGGACCTGTCCTTCCCTGCTCCCGGCCCAGAAGCCCGGCTGAACTCCGGCCCTGGCCGGGGATAGCAGCCAAACCGCACGTCCTAGTGCCTTATTGGAGTAAGTATGTCTGGGCTGTATAGGAGGAGAAACCAGGGGGGGCGGGGGGGGTGGGGGTGGTGTTAAGCTCATAACTTCGATTATGCCGAAAACTTCCTATTCCAGCTGCTGGTCGTTGTTGGATGCAGGGAGTTATAAATGCGGTGTTTCCAGAGGGATGTACATAGGCATGAGCTAAGAAACAAGATCTGCTATACTGCATTCATCTCATTTGAATCACTGTCCATGTAGAGATGTGTTACAGTAAACAGATACCATGCTTACATCTATTCTTACAATTTTTCTTCCCCCTAATTTAATTTCATGACTGTTTAGCTTTAATTTTGTTTATCTGGGTTTTGTTATGCTAAGGTCTTGGTAATACATGACGCCACCGTCGAGGCTCCATAATTCACTGGTAGCAGAGCAAGGCTCCAACTTCACATGCTTTCAGTGGCATTGCTAATAACTTGCCAAGCGTGGTGATCTGGGTTGGTTTCCAGGCTGTTCCTGCCAGTCTTCGATTGCTGTACAGCCCATCTTTTTGCTCTATTTTGTTAACCAGCTCCTAAACGCAGTTTACATGTGCATGGGGAAAGGGTGTGTTAAGGGGGACAGAGATGTTTCTGCACTGGTGCTTCTGTTCTTACCATTTGCAAGGTCAGGAAAAAATGAAAACGACTTAGTGAACTCTTCGGTGGGGAGATCTGGGATGAAATGCTGTTGTGACATGAGGTTGCTTTGTGGGCAAAGAATTTCACATGTTCAGCGCTGCTCTACAAAAATACCCCAACTCATGTTACACAAGGAAGAACCAAGCTGGTACTTCCTTTTTTCTGTTATGCTTTCATAATGTTATAATACATAAGGAAGACTTACACATCAGCAATATACTTCTTTATGCTTTTAAGGAATAAACTTTGTAAGTTCTTGTGTTTGACTCTTTCTACTCTCCTGTAATTCTCCTAATTCTTCTTCCCTCCCCCCCCCCCCCCGCCCCCAAGGCCTGAGTTAAAAACTAATGATAAAGCCCTAGTACTCATGAATTTAACTTTCCTAGGGTAGGCCTTAAAAAGAAGTTGTAATGAAATTACAAATTAAGGGAATAGCATGAAGGGTTTGACTCATATTAATAAAAAGCGTAAAGTAGCAACTAAGAATAAAATGCTTGAACTTCAGTTTCTGTCTGGTCTTTAAGGTTTCAGTTAAATGTAAATTATGGCAAGTGTAAGTGAGGCTCTCTGGGTTTCTTAGTGACTACCCAGTATTTTACTGTATCCTGCTCTGTACTTTTTCACTACCCTCCTGTGCTGTTTTCGTAGTGACACAAAATATTCTTTAATTAATGTTTTTAGAGCAACTGTAAAAGAGTTTTGTGCAATCACTGGCATTCTTTAGCACTATAATGCATGCAGTAGCACATGAACTTGATCATTCAGTTCACATTTTATACAAAACAGAAAAATATTTTTCTATATCCGAAACCTGTATGCAATCCAGACATCATTAGGTCTCCTATTAAATCTCTGGAGACAAACTGAGTATGTCAATGTGACCTATAACATCAGTGGACAGAATATGCATACCAGTAATACATGTTGATTTGAAGGAGCCAGAACCTCTTGGTGTTTCTTCCATACTGAATTCAGTATGTATTTGGATCTGTTTCAGTATTATCAATCATTCTTTTTGCAGTGCTTTCTACTCGTGTTATCTAGGAATGCAAAACAGTTACATTAAATCAGAGAAAGCAGTTTGAGAGGCATGAATTAAAATCTTTAATATATGGGGCAGCTTGAGAGTTGCAAAAATGCAGTCATAAATTTGAATTTTGTAGTTTTAATTAAAATTGTAATAGAAGCTGCTATGCACTCGTGTGAATGATGATGAGAGCAATGTGAATGACGTGAGATGTGCAGGTCCTAATTCTTGTGAAGTACTGAATTTACCATTCTTCTATTTTCACAGAATTCCAGTTCACACTTCCAGTTAAAATGAAAAATGTGTCTTATTTTCTGTCTTTATATACTGCTTGCTACTAGTTCTTGGTTTAAACTTGTAGTAGTAGTTACTTCTACAATAAAAAATACAGTAATAGGTCTAGGACAAGTGCGTTTTAGGACATACATGAACCAGTGCAGCACTGAGACACAGATTTTTATTTAGTATTGTGGATTTTAAATGTTAAGAAATAATTTCATGGTTGATATCTCCATGTTGACATTAATATGATTCAGTCTCACATTAATTGTGGAATGGTTACTTCCTGTCTGTGACAGTAATTTTGTAGGGCTGTTCATTGTAGCAGTGGACAGATTGACTTTTAACATAATGCTTTGGATGACTGGCAGTGCAAAAGGTGAAGCTAAAGTGTAAGTCGAATGCTTGTTTTTTGAGTAAATCTGTGTAAGGAGGTTGTGAAGCTTGTAAAGTGTGAAAAGGTCGTTTTGAAGGTTCCAGTAGCAGTGCAACTCATGGTGTTGTGCAACTCATGCCTGTCCCAAGTGCTGTCTGATTCGGTTAAAATCTTAAGTTAATAAACGTATTTCATGAACATACATGCCCCTCAGACCACTTGAAGAGCACTGGTCCAACACAGGAGTTGTCACATAGAGCATACTGGGAACTTGATTTTGGTCCCCTGTGGTGAGCTCTGGGTTGCTGAGTCATCTCTGGGCACTGGAGTTTGCGAAAAATAGTAGCACTGTGGAGGTGGTTTGGTGTTTTGAAGTTGATGTGTAGACTTCCTTACATTTTAGGTAAGTGCAATTCTGTACTCTTCTGTATCTCTCTGATACACACAGGTTTAACTTAAATTTTAAGTAGTTGTTAGAAGCTTTTATTATATATAATTTATGGGATTTGGCAGGGGGAGGAATCTTCCCTGTTGTATTACAGCCTGAATTCATAAATTATTTGAGTGGCCTATTTTACAATTAGATGCCCCAAAGCTGAGGTTGATGTTCTTAAAACTCATGTCTGAAAGCACACTGTTGTTTGTATTCTTTACTGTGAAGAAAGACACACAGAGCTTCATTTCTGTATCCATCCAGACCTCTTACCGCTGTGATTTCTGGAGAGTGGCATCATTCTCCTGTATAAATGCCTTTGGCATCATGAGATGGGAGTGTTCTCTTGGGATCTGAAAAGCTTGTTTTGCTAAGAAAATAAGCAAGTGCCAGCTATTTACTCAAACAAGAAGCAGAAGCATTTGCAGTGACTCTTCTCATTATAGTTGATGGTACATTAGTTACATCCTTTACTCATGAAGTTTTCTGTCCCCTTTTCATCTTGAAGTAACTTGGGCTCGCATTTCCCTCTCCCCAGGAGACTGCAACAAGCAGCATGGCACAAGCTGTCCTTTATTTCACCTGCAACTGTGCTACTCTGAAAAAAAAAAGAATTAATTATGCCAGACTTCTGCTCTGTGATGAAGGCATTCAGGTGTGGGAAATCTGCTTTCTGTGGATGTTTCATTCTTTCATCCAATAAATATTTTCCCATTTCATAGCTCAGCAGGGTTAGGGCACTGCCCTGACACAGATGCGGTTGTGAGCCAGCCTCGAAACCTGGAAAGAGCCTGCCACCCACTTTTACTTCCTCTGTGGTTACTTTCCTGATGTTTTTAAATTGCTTGATGGTGCTTGGGGGTGTGCTTCTGCCTTGCCATCCGAAACTAAAACTGCATGACTCCTCTCCTCATCAGCTTGTGAAAGGGATGACTTTGTATCTTGCTCCTGGGGTGGCCTGAGGGTTTTTCAGCCCTTTTTAATAACATAGGTACCTCTTGAGCTTCCAGGATAGGTGATGTTTAAGCTACAGCTTTCACAACTTTGTTTCCTATTACCTTAGATGGATTCCTGCTTACCATCCCAGGTGTCTCAATTTCCATTATATATGCAAACTTATTGTAGCCATGCTCAAAATTCTTCTGTGAGTCCATTTTGTACTTCTAGCCTCATATGGACTAGTAAATCTAAGTGTAGCTGTTTTGGAGGATGAAGGCCGTAATTTGGCAAGACTGAGGTTCCCTTCTTGAGAAAGTTTTTATTTTGGGGTTAGGATACAGTTTGAGCCTCGTTTGATTCAGTTGTCCATCATTATATCCTGATACTGACAACTGAGCCAAGCCCAGTAGTGTCCTACAACTATTGTTGTCTAGACTGAATGTGGTTAGACTGAGAAGTGGGAGGAAGGGATTGTTCTCTTGTTTTTCAAAGACGTTTCAAAGAAAGCCTGCTTTCTGTTTTCGTTTCGTTATTGTGAATGTGTTTGGTACCTAACCTGATCATTATAATTTTCATTTTGCAGCTGC